CTAAGTTCTTGTATTTGTACCAAGCTTTTTCTAAAGGTATTACTATATCTTCGAAGAAAGCCGTATTGTCCGGGGGTCTATAGAATGAACCTATTGTCACCGAGCTTGATTTGGTTACTATTCTTAGCCATATAGCTTCTATCTTCTCATGATCCAAATGTTTCAAGTGTACTGCAGTCAGAGTTTTCAATACAAAGACCACCATTCCACCACCCCTTCTGCCATCGGGACGATCTCGTCGAATGGTTCGATATCCATCAACTTGTAGCTGTCTGTTACCTATTTTCTTGCTAAGATGCGTCTCGCAGACAGCTAGTATATCAAATTGGTTTGTTTCAAGCATTATTTTCACTTCATCCATCTTATTCTTCAAACTACAAATGTTTATTTGCCCGATGTTTAACTTGTTCAGGTTCAATTGGTCTCCGGTTTGGATCCGGTTTGGATCACTGGCACTAGTGGCACTGGACAATACATAAAAACATCATTTCCATTGCGAATTGTCGCTAAAAATGTCCCTTGGAACATCGCTTCAAGTGTTTTCCCGCATTTGACGTAATTATAAGAAAGGCCTATTATGTGATGTTGTGATTTATATAAGATGCGCCGCTAAAAACGCATCTTTGACTTTTGTTTACTTTTTAAAAATACGAATGAGTGATAATCTCACCATGCAGGTTCATAAAATTAAACAGATAAGAAGACTATATATGGCAGCGTTTGCACACGTATCTAAGTATCTTAAATCCGGAATCCAAGGAGTGCATCCATTACCTTACATGGGCTGACATTTCTAATTTCAATGGAGTCACATGTTTGGCTGTTTCGGTGTTTGGAAATCAGACATTTTCAGGCAACACTTTGGTCAAATTTAGTGAAATTTCTCCCACTCGTGCGGGCTCGTATTGTCCGCAGACATCTTACACAAAATGGCCAGTTCTGTATAAAATGTAAAACTTTCAATTTTTCACCGCAATTCGCTGGAAATTCGAGCCTGCGGTACTGCGATAAAATTTGTTGAATATGACCAGCGTGCAAATATAGACTTGGATCAAGTCCGTCTCTCTGGAGTCCGTCGCGATGCGACGAGATCAACCTCGTACGATTCCTCTGACTCGTGAGAGACGGACTTGATCTAAGTCTAAGGCAAATACAAAAGTCAAGAACGCATTAATTTAGCTATATATTCCGCAATATTTTTCCGCAACAGGAATTTCGAATTCCTTTCTAAAATACCGCAAAACTCTACCGCATGCGGAACTTTCACAGTTGGCCTGCCGCAATAAACTACCGCAGTAGCACTTTTTCAAATTGACCTGCCGCATGAGATCTCCGGCTAAAGTGATGAACTTTCCAGTATGGATAAAAACCACATGGACGAATTCAATTGAACTAAATTTTGGCACAAGAATGAGTTTAAAAAACATAGTATGATAAAAAGAGCCTGTGGAGAATACCTGGAAACAGTTTTAAGAAATAATCTCGACGAGATGCAGCGAAACGTGACTATGTAAGTCTGTATAAATATAATTTATAAAGATTTTCTTAATAATTTCATATGTTATTTGAGTTTGATTCATTTGTCCTAGTTTAAATTATGTGCCTTTATGAGTTTATGATCATTTCCCAAGTTTGTTTATGCCAAATTGCTTACAAAAGAATTAAAAACTCTTGACAAAATGAAGTTGAATTTTATTGAATTTCATCATGCTATGCATAAAATAAATAATCACTCGGGCA